TACCTCAATTGGTGTGTCCTTTTCACCAAAAAAGCAACCTTGGGGGCATTTTTGAGAAGTGACTCAGGTGCGAGGTTCTGTGTTGTTGCCTCACTTTAGCACCACAGTTCAGGGGGACAATACAAATTTGCATGTTCCGACATCTGGTTTCATGTTTATTAGTTTTTCCAGTTTGATCAGGTATTGGCGCTTGCTCTCGCTCAAACTCGTATGATCGCGGGTCCCGGATGCTGTCCTCTCTAGTTGTCTGATGAATTGAACAGTCATTGAAGGATGTTGCTGCAGGGCCACCAAGCACAAAGAATCGTTTAATAAGTTAGTAAAGTTTAATTATTAAAATCAATTGTAGAGGATTGTGCAGCTTTCCATAAAGTTTTTGTTTTGTTTTGAGTGTAAACCATTAAACCATATATAAATATCTTGAAATCTCAGTAACCACAGAAGTAAGAGAGGGTGAGTATGAACATATACTGTGCAAATATTACTGACGACAACTTCAAAATGTTATGTTGAAAACATCCTTTTACATACAGTTAATCAACTCACCTCGATATCAGCACTCTTTACACGGATTGAGGGGCATGCAGCAAGTTATACCTGAGGGTTATTTTAGAACCATTATTATAGACAGGATGGTATTGAACCATTAAAGTTGGAGAGCAAAGAGTAACTAAGAATCTTACATAGTGAAAAATGCTTTATCAAAATGTTATGTTCTCTTCCACAACAAATGGATATATTTTCCATCTTCTGTGGTTCCTCCTTTTGGAGGTTACACACACACACACACCACCACACAACACACAACACACAAACACAGCGAGATATGTTGATTCAAAAAATTAAATATGTCAAACAACCAATGAGAGAAGGGAGGTGTGGAAATCACTTAAAACGAGTCGTTGGAGCATTTTGTCTTGCAGTGTTTTAATTCCGACTGCGTATTCAAGACAGTGATAGACCTGCCGGTAGTTGCATGGAAGGAAAAGATAGAAGAAATCGGAGAAAGAATTACATCTTTATTTACCAACTGTAATAAAAATGCTGTCCTTCTAAACCACACCCTCTCACCCCTGGATCACTTAAAAGGAGACACAACAGCAGACGAACCAACGCAGCACACTGACTGATCCACCCTGATTAAAAGACATGGACGGCATCAACCGACGCTACCGCCAGAAATGGCTCCCCACATTCTGGAGCCCCATGCCTGAGGACCCAGAGGCTTCATCCTTCCTCTCATCCGCCTTGGCTGTGGTGACGATCCCCAACGCTTTACCCTGGTGTGAAGGTTCTCCCCTGGCCAGCCAGCTGATTGAGCTTTCGTCTTGACTGAATTGATAAGATTAAACAGTCTTCAGGCGAACCTAGATCACTCTGTTTTAGATCAAGCTTTAAAGATGATTAAAGACTAGTCGTCTCCTTTTGCAGCAATGTATCTATTTTTTCTATTTCTACATATTTATGTAGAATGCAAGTTGTGTTTTGTTTTATTTTAAAAACATGTATCTTAAAACAATTAAATCAATAAAAGACAAAAGAAATAAAGAAGCAATCCAGAGTGGTGTTTTTTCAGTAAACCCTACCAGTTTGTTGAAAGCAGGATGGCGATGAGACGCGTCATGGAAAGAGTGTATTTACAACCCAGCCCATCCGGCTAGTTTTGGAGGAGTAGAACGACTTCGTCGTGGTATGCAAGATGAAATGGGAAAGAAAGTCAGCGTGGCAAATGTTAAAGAAGAGCAGGATACCTAGACTCTGCATAAACCAGCCAGAATACATTTCACCAGAAACATATTCTGAGTTTTTGTCCATAGGCCTTTAAACCAATTTCAAGCCGATCTCTGTGACATGCAAGCCTTGGTGGAGCATAATGACGGATTTAAATATTTATTAACGCTCATAGAGAAAGAGTTTTGATGCTTTGATGCAGAAACACAGTATCATACATTTTGCCACCGCCAGCAACCTGTAGGCCTCTGTTATTTAAAGATTTTAAAAGTACATTAAAAACTAGAATTTGGAGATATTTTACGGCTAACAACACAAGGCGATACCTCAATGTTTTACAGGATTTGGTGAAAAGCTACAATCACACCTTTCATAAAAGCATACAAATGACAACTATGCAGGTGACCTCTTTGGTTAAAAATTCAATAGCTGGGTCAAGGCCTATATAAAAACGACGCTAATCAACACTGGATCGTTCATTCCACCATGGATCCGACGACAGACGCACGTCACCATACCCTCCAATGCTAGTAAAGATGTGTTTAAAACTAACACCAGCGAAGGGGGGGCGTGTGGACACCATGGAGTGAGGTCGCATTTCCCGTGGCTCCGCCAAGAAATGGCATTTATTTATTCATTTTAGGCACAGTTTGACATTATCTTCACGTAAATAATACTTTAAAGAATTCTTGCAACGTTTGTTTGGTTTCACATCCCTTTTTGGACCTCCTTCTTTGACTGTCAACGCTTCTGAATGTCTGCCGAAGCAGGCCGGAAATAAGCCCCGGATTTTCGCCGTGCTAGCTAATGCTTCTGCTGTTGGAGGGCTTGGACAAATGACTCCCTACGGACATATCCAGCGTCACTTTGGCTCATATTGGTCGGCGGAGGACGTTTGTACCACTGTCCCTACCCGAAACGGAAAGTAGTGAGTACCATATAATGCAAAAGATGAATGTTATGCCCCACTAGCATTTGGCTAACTAGCCCGCTAGCTAACATCGCGGCTAAAGGTGTTAGCGCCTGGAAGAAAACTGAACTGAAGAACTGAGAACTGTATCCCTGTGCTTATATACATACATTTTTATTTGAGCCCTTGCATGCTGTCATGTGTGACAAAAAAGATCCTGCCAAGCATTGCGCTAAAAGAAATCCTACAGAGCAGGCCTCCAGTGTAGCCTTGACCTCGACCGCCCCCCGTGGGCAGTGAGGGTTCACCACTCACTTTAGAAATGTTTGTTAAGGCCCTTGATGGATTGAAACAAGTAATATGTGATACATTGGGCTCAAAGATTGACTCATTTACCAGTACACTGAGGTCTGAAATGACTCTGTTTAAAGAGGAGCTGAAAGCATCCGTGGCTACACTGCAGACAACAGTGGACAGTGGACTCACATGATCGTCCCCCATAAAAGACCTCGAAACTGTCCTGCTACCAACCTGCAGGACGATTTAGCCAATCTCAGTGTGACAGTGAACCTACTTAAAGGTGAAATTAACATACTCAGACTAAATGGAATACTTAGAGGAAGATCAAGACGTAAACAATGTGCAACCTGGTGGTCTCCCAAGAGTCATGGAAGGTCCAACTGTCCCAGAGAATTCATCTCTTACACTTCTACAGGACCTGCACATCTGATGAGGCACCTCTTCGACAGAGGCCACATGAAGGCCCGCACATGACCTACTCATCATCAGAGTCCACTATCTCACATCAGAGACCAGATCTGGCGTCGAGCGTGGGAAAGCCAGCCCTCTGCACACCGGTGGCAAGAAAAAAAACAAATCTCTACCGGATTTCCCCCTCCTGTGCCAAGAAAGCGCTTTGATGAGATGCTAAGCTTGCCTCAACACCTGCCCAGGGCCGTCCAAATTGCCTCTACCATCCGCCTGGAGGCTGAGATCCAATGT